ATGGTGTATTTGATTTTCGAGTTTCTAATTAATTCATACGTTCTATTAAAAGAAAAATGACAAAAATCTGTTTATTAAGTTCACTTGTTAGCTTTATCCCCTATCAATTTTTAAAAATACTTAAAATCTCTTACTTTTAAGTTATATGAGGCGGATACAAAAATGTAATAAAAAATGAGGTGGATACAAAAATGTTATAAAAAATGAGACGGATACAAAAATGTAAAAATGAGGCGGATACAAAAATGTGACAAAAAATAAGGCAGATACAAAAATGTGATAAAAAATGAGGCAGAGTACAAAAATGTAAAAATGAGAGTGGATACAAAAATTTTATTGTATTCAGCCCTATTATGTATCCATATTTTTGTATATTTTTGAGAGATTTTGGTCAGTAGAAACTTATAAGGGATAAATGGGTTAAATCCCTAAAAATATGTTATTTATGTTATTTGCCCAAAAAATATTGAATTCCAAAAAATACTGATTTATGGCTTAAATAAATTAATTATAAGTGGAAAACAATTTGAGGAAAAATATATAACTAAATTAATTAATGATTATTATTAGTGATAAAAACATTTTAGCACTCTTTCTAAATATCCTTAAAAGAATTTCATCATTTTTAATGCAGTTTGATTAATCGCGAAAGTATTCGTTTGAACGAGTAAAAACTACTTGGGACTTGACGATTTAGATTTCAATGTAATTTTTTCTGAATTCCTTATCAAATATTATAGTATTTTATGATTTATAAACAACTTAAACGTATAACAAAGATTTAACTGAAAACCTAATGATGATGAAAAATAGGATTATCATAAGCTTCCATGATAATTATTTTTTTTTGAGGACAAAATGGTTTGTATTAGTTTTTTTTTTAAAATGTAAATTATAAATAATGAAATGTGTTTTACTTCAATGTAAAAAAAAAAAAAGGAAAAGAATCGTGTAAGGCTGTTCTTAGTACTTCTAAAGGAAAACAAATTCGTATAGGTTAATTAATTAATATAAAGAAGGAAATTATTATTGTGAGTGAAAAAATATCGATTCTTGACTCAAATAATATAAGTCGAAAACAATTTGATGAAAAATATGAAACTAAATGTATAAGAAAAGCTTTTAAAAATATTTATTCGGAATATACGGACATGATCCTAAATAGAAAGTTCTTGAAATCGTGGATTAGGTTAAAATGTTAGCAGGTAACTGTTGTTGTCTCTCTTTATGTACGAGAGAAGGGGCTAGCTTCATCCTTTCCTCTTCTCACTATTATTACTAGAATTATTTAGTAATTACGTAGTTTCTTATTATCTTACGTGTAATATTATTTATTTTTTTGAACTGAACTTTTAGATTATTATGCTTTTTGGGACCATAATAATTTTTTGAAAATTATTTTTCTATCCCACAAAGATAAAAATACGATCTGCCTAACATTCTAAATTCAATTCATATGTGTGGCTACCAGCTGAGATGTCCAGCGGATTCCTGGGCCTTGACGAATGGCCGGCCACCTTTTACGTTAGAAGAGCAAAAGGCCCAGGACATAGCAGGATGAACCAGTTATTATCATATAAACTAACAAAACCTTTTAGTGAAATACGATTAATATATATTGAAAAATGAGAAGTTCAGATTAATGGATTTACATATGATAATTAAGATATGATTCTATACTCTATAATTGTATAATGCAACCCATCCAACAAGTATTATAAGTTGGACTTCAAAAGTTTTATGTTGATTATAAGAAACTCCTAATTATATATCTTTTGATATGTTTTTAAGTCTATATGGTTTATTTTTATTCCTAATTATATATCTTTGGATATTAAAATTATTTCCTGACATTTACTAATAATGTGAATAAATACACTTTCAATTTTGCAGAATTTGGTTTAACTTTATTTATACTATCTAATTAATACTCTTTCGACTTTTAATTTACATGATACTTTTTTATTTTAATCTTTAATCATGCTTATTTTATTTTTCATTATGCGTCCTTTAAAAAAAATATTAATTAACAGATATAATTGACCATTTCACTCTTATTTCTATCTTAAAATATAATTTATTCTTTAATATTTAGTCTCTTTTCATATCATAATCAAAGTGTTTATAATTTTGAAGAACAATTAAGTTTGAACATTTTATTTACTCTTAATGACATTTTTTTCATCATTAATCAAAAAAAATATTCATTTCATTTTTAAATTCTCTATTAGTCAAACACTTCATTAAATTGAAGTATATCATAAAATATTTTTTGGCACAAGAGGACAACATAACCATAAATTGTTATAATATTTTAAATCATTTCATTTATTATTTTTTCCCTTTTCATCTCCTATATAAACTGATATAATATTTCTCATTTTCTTCAATAAAACATAACAAAAAAAAATGTCAGGAAATAATTTTAATATCCAAGTTCAATCTCAGGTTCATTATTTCACTCTTTCTAATATAATTTTTTAAAATTTTCTTTTTTATATTCCTAATCTTAATTTTTTTTTATATATATAGGATGGATCAATTACGATTTTAAGCGTATCGTCTGATATGCTTATGAAGAGGGTCTTCCTAATATATTGTAGGGAAAAACTAATAGACTGGAAAATAGTTCGATTTGTCTTGAATGGAAAACGTATTTCACCAGCAAAGACTGTTGATGAAGTAAGACCTTAATTTGTATATAACTTAATCGAATTTATCGTTTAATTTAAAATTATATAATTTTTTTTAATTTTGTTTCTGTGTTTCTGTTTTTACGAAGCTTGGATTAAAAGATGGTGATAAGATCGATGCTATGTTCTAGGAGGAGGATTTACAAACTAAATATGAAAGAAAGAACAACATATCACACATGAATATGTTGCACTTTTTTTTTATTTAGTATTTTAATTTCGAAGCTATGTACTTTTGTTTTATTACTAAAGACAACTTGAATATCATGTGTCCAAGTTGATCATGCAAACATAATCTTAAATTTTGTATGTGAATTTAAGATGGTTAATAAAATCGTCTTTTTCTCTATTTTAGATATCAATTTTTTAACTAGGGGATGCATGATTTTATTTTTACGTAATTATAATAAGAAAAACGATTAAATATATTTTTAAACTAGTTAAAATGAATCAATTATATTTTATGTTACGTGTTTGGCTAAAAAATGTTGACCAACTAATAAAAAAATTATTTTATACATTGAACTGTTATTTTCTTTTTTTTAATCTTAGTTAATCGATATAATGAATATATTGATAATTCTTTTACTAATATCTTGAATAAAATCTTATGTTAAGATTATGTGATCTTAACTTAAATTATGTGATAATAATGTCTTTTCTTTATTGGGGGCCTCAATTTATTATTTTTGATATTGGATGTATAATTGCATTTTTGCTTTATTATAAAATAGTAAAGTTTAAAGGAAAAAAGTATAAAATATTTTTCTTTTTTAAAAAAAAAGAAGAAAGCAAACCTGAATTAAATTACTTCATACTGTGTTATTCAGGGCGAAGTTATGTGAATGTAGATCTGAATCCTCTTAGTCAGAAAATTATAATACATATACATGGTTAAAATATATTAAATCTCTATTATTTTTTTTTAAATATTTACTTCTTCATATTTTAAGTTTTTTTTTGTGAAAATTTTGATGGCACTATTGTGTGTGGTAAGTATTTTGCGAATGACAGTAATTCTTATGAGTGGTCTATGTAAAAGATTTATTTTTTTTTCTTATGAGCTTCGTTTACTTGATTGAAGAATATAAATATATAAGGAAAAAGTGAAAGAGATGATGTATCCTCATTGCTCCTTGCAACATCATCGTTTCCAGTGACGTCTTTTGTTGATGAAATCATTTTCCATTGTTGACAGTGAAAACAAAGATACAGAAGTTGGTATAGAGCAAAGTAAAAGTGTAGGGGGATTTCTTGGTCATTTGTATTGTTGATTTATTTTTTTGTACTTCATCCTTTATAATACATATGATTTCATATTTAATATATCTAGTTGATTTTGTTTCTTAAACTAATGTATAATGCCTTCGTTGATTTTCAATGTAACTCGTTGTTTAATCGATGTACTGATACATGTATTAGATATGTACCAAATGTTATAACGTTTAGTCAATGCACTGATACATGTAGTATATATGTATCACATGTTTTTCATGTAGTATGAATTTTCTGAAAACTGATATCATGTATCAGTAAGGTATTAGTTGTTTAGTTGATGTACTGATACATGTTTTGAAAATTGTTATAATGTATCATTCACTAAGTTTAATAATTGTGTCATCAACTGTGCTTGATGATACATATAGAATCAGTGTGTATAGTGTTTTGTCGATGTACTGATACATGTATTAGATATGTACCACATGTTATAATGTTTAGTCAATGCACTGATACATGTAGTAGATATGTATCAACAACGATAGAAAATGAAATTGAATCTCCAACAACGATTCCGTCGATTTTGTAACTTTCATACTGCAATTCGTTCACCCAAATTCCGGAATGTCTCATCAAAATTGAAGTATTCATCTTGAAAAATCCACAGTAACAACAATAAAATTACTGTAGTTCGAAATTTAACAGATTGTTCATAAAAAATGTATTCAAACTAGATGATATAATCTTTGATTTTTAAAATTTGAAATTAATATCCAATTACGTGCTGAATTTATGCTGATTAATGATCTGTTACCATAAAATAAGTTGTTTTAGTAACAACATTAAATTTACCGTTTTTTCTCCATTTTTTTCTCAACAGTTTAAACTTACCATGTATCATTTACCATGTATCACTAGAGTCTAAAGTATCACGGCACAACAAATTTAAGGGATTTTTTGTAAATACTAAATTTGTCGGGACAGAGTGTAATTATTGAATTACACTATGGGATTCCTTAAAATTTTTACAAATATATATATATATATATATATATATATATATATATTTTTAAAATAATCACTTCAGACGGTGACCGTTTAGTCTAGGAGAAATTTAAACATAATTATAGCAGTATGTTTTTTACACTAGAAAATGCATCAATGGAGACTTGTAGTCAAAGGCAATGATGGAATTTTTCTGGTAGTGGAAGACATTGTCTTAAATGGAATTTTTCAAGAATCATATTTTTCCTCATTGCCCTCCTCTCTACTTCACCCCTTTTTACACTCTACCTATACATATAAAATCATTCTTGTTTCTTGTTAGAATTTTATTTTTGGACGCGGATTAAGATGGAAGGTTAGTAGATATGAGAATGTTATTTCGCTTTTTATCTTTTCATACTGGTAGTCGTAGTATTTCTCTCGTAGTTTCTTGCCCTTAGATTTGTCATGCCCTTTTTACAATAATGCTTTGTCTTTTCATTTATGTTATTTCCTTTTCTGACTTGCTTTGATGTGTTTTTTCTTGAGTCAAGGGTTTATTGAAAATTAAACATGTATCTACCTTAGTGGCGTAGTCACGTACTATCAAGGGTGTTCAATTCGTCGGAAAAAAATTAGCACATATACAAGTAAAATGATATACGAAATGATTAAATAAGGACACCCTTACCATAACAACTTGCTATTTCTGCACACCCTTTAAGAAATTTTTGGCTCTACCGCTTGTCTACCTCCTAAGGTAAGGTAAGGTTTATGTATATTCTATCATTCTCAGACTCTACTTTGTGAGATTATATTACGCAGGTATGTTTGTTGTATATTTTGTGTAATTTTGCTAATGTGGTTGGGATTGAGTGGAAAAATTGATTCAGAATAGTATGTTTTGATGTTGATTCTTTTAAGATTTTGTAGTTCATCTAATATGTGAATCTATCTGTGTATTTGGTTGGATTCAGTTAATTTCGAGACAATGAGATCTCTTGCTCATTTACGATTTGAACCATTTTTCAGATCTAACTCAATCAGAAAAGTTAGTTCATTAGGCTAGGAGTATCCAAAACCATAATGTCTGTCATGTTTTGTACTAACAGCAACATATCAATGTTTGGGATATAGAAACGGAAACAGAATTTTTTGATTGTTTGTGATCGTATCTATTGTTAACTATGAGTTCTATATTTGTTTTTTTAAGGCTCAGCTCAGCCATGTCTCGTACTCAAGTTATTATCAAACAAGATTGGAAGCTTACTGTGTTTTTGGAATTCACCGAAGAAGTACAGGAGATTGGATACTAAGCTTGAAATGAAAATGGTGGAGCTCAAGAGAAGTTCATCAGGGGAAAGCAAATTCAGGTCAATCAATGGCATAATCTTGAAATTTCCTCATTTTAAAGAGGGGTTGAAGGAGATAAAAGACGTGTTTGAACAGTTCGGTTAGTAGCTTCTGTATATGCAGGGATTTGGGTTTTTTGTTACGTTTTTACTTGATCAATGGATTTATATGTTTTCTGTGTTTGGTTCTTTTTTTCCTAAGATGAAGATTCGAATGGGACTATTGACCGTGATGAACTAAAGAAATGTGTAAAGAAGCTGCATTTTCATGCTAAAGATGAGGAGGTTAATGATCTTTTCGACTCTTGTGATGTGGATGAAAACGAAGGGATTCAATTCAATGAGTTCATTGTTCTTCTGTGTCTTCTTTATCTATTGATAGATTCATCGTCCTCCTCTGGCAATGTACGTAAATGCTGTCCTGTTCGTTGTTCTTCTCTCGTGTAGTTTTACTATAAGTAGTCGTAGTATTGCTCCTGTAGTTTCTTGTTTTGCTGCAGTTTTTGTTCTGTTACTATCTCTTGTTTTTGTCATTAGCTGTTGTTTCTTGCTTTGGACTGTTGAAAGGTCTATCGGAAACAGCCTCTCTACCTTTAAGGTAGGGGTAAGATCTGTGAACACTCTACCCTCCCCCGACTGTTGTTGTTGATGATGTGAAGTTATATATTCATTAGGATCACGTTTATTTCAGACCACGAAGATCGGTTCACCAGAGCTAGAAGCAACATTCAACACAATAGTTGAGGCATTCTTGTTTCTTGACAAAAATGGTGATGGGAAACTGCACAAGAAAGATGTCCTCAAGGCATTAAACGATGAATGTCCTTGTGAGAAATCCCCTTCTCATGTCACTCGTACTCGATTTAGTACTGTCTTTTCACCTTCTCAAATTGTCTTGAATTCATACTAACTAGCTGTGTTAACTTCTCACATGACGATGATCTGGTTGAAAATTGCAGGAGAAATGGACTGGAACAGGAGCGGTAAGGTCAGTTTCAGGCAGTTTCTGTTCGCGTTTCTTGATTGGGTTGGTATAGACACAGACGATGAGAAAGGGAGACTACGTGCAACAACCACACCTCAACCAAACTAGTGGATTCGTCTGTATGAATCCTCACTAACCATGTCACCCCGTTAAATGAAGAAAGGTTAGACTAGTATTCGTACATATAAAGTAGTTCTCTCTTTGTATACGTTCAAGTTCGGTTATTGTTGCATTTCTGAACATCTGCTCTGAATAAGCTTTCATGTTTAAGGTATATTCTTCTATTGTATCGAAAAAAAACTCATCAATTTCATAAAAAATCGCATATCTGATGCTATCAAAGTTGCCCACACTAAATTACACAAATGTTCTGCTGAAGAAACATAGTCATACCATGAATACATAGAAGAACAAACACATTGAGATATAAAGCTTCATTTTCATTTCTATCTACATGTAACTACTTCACATCTTACGCGATGATCATTGTATACCAAGAGCTTGGATTCTCCTTACGAGGGACAAAGCAGAAGCATTTCTTGTTCTCCATTCTTCCGGGCTCTCCTTCTTTCGTCCATTTTCCATTAACCATTGATCATGTCCATCGAGAATGTTCACTATCTGCCTCATGCTCGGTCTTGATTCAGGATCGTATCTAGTGCAAGCCATTCCTAATTTGACTAGCCTGATCAGTTCCCTGGTGTTGAAGTTTCCATTCAACCTCCAATCTGCAAGTTGTTCGTATGGCCTTTTTTGCACCTCGAATTCATGAACTCGATTAACCAACAAAGCCTCAGGCCGGCGGAAATCTACTGCCATCTGACCACTAACTATCTCAAGCAGAACTACACCAAAGCTATAAACATCAGCCATTGTTGTTGCATCACCAGAATCCATATGCTCCGGTGACATGTATCCAAAGATCCCCCTGACTGATTTGTTTTTATCAACCACAACATGATGGCTATGCTCATTTCGAGTCAAGAATTCAGCAAGAGCAAAGCAACCAAGCCTTGGGTTCATATCTGGATCAAGAATGATGGCAGATGATGTGATGCATCTGTGTATCACCTGTTCATCCCATTCCTCATGTAGATAGCGAATCGCAGAGGCAAGTGATTTGACAATGTTATACCGATGACGCCATCTAAGAGTACTGGAGGCATTGTCCCTATGATGATTCTGATGGAAAAGGAGGTGACTTAAAAGGCTACTCTGAGAGTAATCATAAATGACAAGCATTTCACCTTGCTCGGTGCACCATCCGCGGAGTTGCACCAGGTTTCTGTGGCGTAATCGTCCTAAGTTCTGAAGTTCATTCGAGAACCTCACTCTTAAAGCTGGACAAGTTTTCATTCCTAGCCTTTTCACTAAGACATGCTGGTTGTTTTCAAGAAAACCATGGTAAGCAGTACCAAAGTCAATCTCAGCAACTCTTCTTGAATCCGAAAAATTGTTCGTGGCAGCAATGATCTCTTTGAATGTGATCTCCCTAGCAGTTTCAACCATCAGGAAATTACTCGATTGACGCCTACTGCTGCAATTTCCAGACTCATTATTGCTGCTGGTGCTTCCACTTTCAGCACTTAGATACATGGTATCTCCTGTGGCTGTGATGAACATTGTTGAGTTGAAACCAGGCGTCGTGCTCGTGCTGGTTGTGGCAGTGGACCTAGAGGTGATTGTGTTGCTAGTTGTACTATTGCTTGGTGATGACAAAGATATATAAAGAGGATGGGACTTAAAACAAGGAAGATCAGGTAATTTACCATAAATATGACCAGATAGTGCTTCCACAACCCATTTCATATTAGGCCTTGATTGAGGTTCATGAAGTGTACAAAGAAGGCCAATATGTATTAGCCTCTCCATATCATTAAGCTTGTAAGAACCATCAACAAGTCTGCTGTCACCAGCTTGTAAAGCCATTTTTTCATCAGAAAGTCTCCTGATCCAATCAAGAAGTATGATTTGATCATCCGGGGACGCGAGATCAACAGCGCGCCTTCCTGAAACAATCTCCAGTACAACAATCCCAAAGCTAAACACATCAGATTTTGCAGTGGCACAACCTTTTTTCTGAAAACTTTCAGGAGGTAAGTACCCTATAGTTCCACCAATTCTTGTTGTCTCAGCCAGCCTAAACTGCTGATTCTTCATAGAAGGTGTCCTGGGTTGGTACTCGAGTTCATGTTCCAACCACCTAGCTAAACCAAAATCGCCTAGCCGGGCGTTGAAATTGTAATCAAGCATCACATTGCTTGTCTTAACATCTCTATGAATGATCTGAGTCTCCAATTGTTCATGGAGATAAAACAAGGCAGCTGACAAGCCATTAACTATATTCTTTCGACGTTCCCAATCAAGAACAGGGGACCCTGCATTGTCCTGTTTACGGAACAAAATCCGATCAAGGCTACTGTTAGGCATATAATCATACACAAGGAACAACTGATCATCATGAAAACACCATCCCCTTAGCCTCACAAGATTCCGATGGCGGAGATGAGCAACTGCCACTAACTCAGCAGCAAATGTTTTCTCAAATTTCTCCCCTTTTTCAGCTAAACATTTCACAGCTACAACTGTTCCATCACTAGGTAAAACAGCTCTAAAAACTTTCCCAAATCCACCACTTCCTAAAACTTCATCATCACTAAATCCATTAGACCCTATAAACAGCTCAGAATAGCTAAAAATCCTTGGATTATGATGATGATTATAATCACCACCACCTTTCTCACCTAGCTGCATACCCTCAGTATCATGAAAAACACCAGAAAATTGTTTCTCCCCAATTTCTTGATGACAACAAGTTACCCATTTGGAATCAAGTAGTTTTGAAAAAGATTCATGAATAAAATCAAGAACTTGACCCCCACAACCCCTTTTGGATAAAGACTCATTTTTTTTCTTTGGTTTCTGTTGTACAACTTGTTTTTCACCATCAACAACTTGTCCCCCATAACCCCTTTTGAAAAAAGACTCATTTTTTACCTTTGGAACTTGCTTCTCACAATCAAGAACTTCACCTCCACTACCCTTTTTTGAAAAAGACTCATTTTTTCCCTTTGAAAATTGTTTTTCACCATCAAAAACTTGACCCCCACAACCCCTTTTAGCAAAAGACTCATTTTTTATCTTTGGAACCAGCTTTTCACCATCAAAAACTTGACCCCCACACCCCCTTTTAGATAAAGATTCAATCTTTTTCTTTTGATTGTGTGATTCTACTTGTTCATTTTCATGATCAATCTCATCAAGATCATCAGCAGGCAAAACAAAACACAAACGTTTAAGCTCCATGGTTAAAGGATATCATGAATAGGATAAAGTATACTAACATTTAGTTGGGGAAATGAGAGAGTAGTTGTTGTAATGAAAGAAGAATTCAATGCAAAAAAAAGGAGAGGTTTATATGGTTTTATTCAAACAAAATTAGGTTGCAAGGTTTGAAATGTGATACACATGAATTGGCCAACAACAAAAAAACCCAAAAAATCCAACCATTTTTCTTTTGTCTTTTTGTGTATAAAAATGACAAATTTTGTTTTCTGGAAAGATGTTACACATTCAATTTCGTCAGCATATGTTCACACTTTTGGTTATGATGATTGATTCTTTCACATTAAAACCGGATTTAAGCTGTCGACGAGAGTTTAACTTGTATATACTGATTGACGTCATAAAGTTTGATGTGTATCTAGTGATGATAGTCGATATACGATAATGAGTAGCAAGATAAACTTATGTGCAAAGACAATATAAAATGAGTGTAAAGAATGAGTATAACTAAGTATCGAGTTTATTTTTTATGTACTGACGTTATACAGTTTGACATTTATGTCGCGACGATATAAATAATGAGGGTAAACGAAAGTAAGTTTAATGAATATTTCATCCGTCCACTTTTAATTATTATGATTTTTCTTTTTAGAGTCGAAAGATAAGAACTTTGAGTAATATATTTTATGATATATTTTTTATTATGTTGATGTATAAAAAGTTATAATTTTATGATACTTTTTATATAGTTTTTGAATATTAATTTTTTTTATTTATAATATTTAATTAATGTAATCTAATTAACTTTAAATATTAATTAAAATGACTATTAAAAAATATAACATGACAATAAAAAATATCTAACATAAAACTTTAAAATATCAAATTAATTTGGTATGGAACTAAAAGATGATATCAAAGTCAAAGAGAGATCTTTGTTTTCCTCTAAATGATAAGTTTGTTTGATCATAATCCACAATAGAAAGCAGCAATATTTATTTGAAAAAATTAAAATTCATTTTCCATAACAAAAATATGAAAATATTTTAGAACCCAAAGTGGAAGAAAATATGTTGAAAAAAATAAAAACAATAAAGGGTACACGGTTTCTTTGAAATACATGGTATTAAAAGTTTTGACTCCTTGACTTATTCAATATTAATGGTCTAAGTAGTTCTATATTCTAATTTAATTATTGACTTAACATGTCGATAACTTCTTAAAATTTTAAAAGTATTATTTCATTCCTTCCTTGTTGGAGATCCATGAATTTTCAAATGTCTCCAATTATTTTTCTGAATATCATAAAAGTTACAAAATGAAATACTATTTTCTATCGTAATAAATATAATCTCTTCATTACGATAATAATAGAATCCTTCAGGTGGACAATATATTAATTTCGTTATATCTTCCACGTCTCTCCGTTGCGAAGGAATGTGAATGTAAGCTTTTATATGAAAATTTGTGAAAAAATCAAAAATATCTTTAATTTTTCTCCATGATTTGTCGATGCTGTAATTTCGTACATGGCCATATGAATAATCAACTTGCATTAGAACTTTGTACCTCTTCTCCACTGGTTCATAACCTAATGAATAGTGATTTGTAGGCTCAACTAAGCGAGAATACTTTGTCTGATAGGGAAGTACTACTATTTTTGTTATTGTACTGGGATTGAAAATTCTAACGGGCTCCATACCGGACCTTCAAATGCAGTATGAACCATTAACGCACGGTCCATTGTTGTATCGATTGTGACAATCAAATTTCCATCTACATATATTTCCATTTTCATTTAGATCTACGGCATATAAATTTTCAGTTTTCCACATAAGAAATTTCGTTCCACCTTCGCGAATCATAGAGTGTAGGTGATGGACATGAATAAAATTTGAATCCAACACAAGGGCATCAAAAAATTTGTTAACACACCTAAAACGCATCAATGAAAAATTTCAACAATTATTTCCTGGTAAAAAGAGGTTG